CGCTGCTGCCGCCTATCAGACACCCCGTACAGAGCCGCGCGCGCAGTGCAGCAGCTGCAGCAGCAGCAGCAGCAGACGGACGATGGGCTGGGTGCGGCGCCGCAAGAACCGGGGAGACGTCCCCCAGCGCTGTCGGCTGCAACGGAGAAAGTTTCTCTTCCTCCTAGCAAGGACTTTCTTAGTATCCCTCGGCCAGTCTCAGGTGTGCTGTTGTCTTTGCTGCTGTTGTGCTGCTGTTGCTGCTGTTGTTGCTTTTGCTGCTGTTGCGGATGTGGCAGGCGCTGCTGACATTGCTGCTGCTGCTGCTGCTGCTGCTGCTGCTGCTGCTTCTGGTGCTGCTGTGTTTGGATGATCTGCTGCGTCTGCTTGCACGCATAAACCCCACCCGCGTCGTCGTATCTAACTTCTCCAGTGTTGCTCTTATTCTGCCTGTACCCCTCCCTGGTGTCGCTGCTTCTGTGCTGCAGTTCTTTTGCTGCAGCTGCTGCAGCTGAGCTGCAGCATCGTTACTGCTGCGTGTTGCTTGCGTGGGTGCTGTGTTTAGGGCCTTCTGTCTTCGTGGATGCAACAGAGCCGAAGCAGGGGAAGGGGCCCNTGCGTGGGTGCTGTGTTTAGGGCCTTCTGTCTTCGTGGATGCAACAGAGCCGAAGCAGGGGAAGGGGCCCGGGGGTGCGGAGCCCCTAACGGTGAGCAGCAGCTTCTCTGCGCCGCTGCCTCTGGCGCATGCAGACAGCAGCAGCGAGGCTGTATGTCAGGTGCTGAGCCCGCATCCATCATACAAGTTGCTGCTGCTATCGTCAACAGTGTTGCTGCATAACAGCAGCGGATTGCCGCTTGAAATCTGCTTCTTAGATGCTGATCTCAACCCCCTGCTGCTGCCAGCAGCACACGGGGCCTCCGCCTCCCTCGAGGCAATAGGAGAGGGGCCCCCAAGTGCATGCAAGAGGGGCCGGCTCTCTGCTGAGCCGCCGTCGTCACTACACCCCGACTTGCTGCGGGTGCCAGCGTGGATGCTGCAGCGGGAAGAGCGGTGGAAGGAGCTGCAGCAGCAGGAGACGCAGCAGCAGAAGCAGCAGCTGAAGCTGCTGCTGCAGGCAGCAGCAGCCACCAAATCCCCAAACCTAAAGCGTGCTGCATCAGCCCCTCTCAGGAGAGCAGCAACAGAGGCCTACACTCGATCTGCTGCTTCACAGCGTGCGCTGCAGCAGCAAGAAGCAGCAGAAGGAGAAATCCTTAGCTACAGCTCCTCTCCCTCTTTTATAAGACAAAATACTGAGAGGTTTACATATACTTTTCTTCTCCCTAATCAACACGTTCTCTCCGTGCCCCAGAGAGCTATCCTAGGCAATGGCTGGTGTAACGTCTGCTTCCGGCCTGCAGCATTCGCAGAAGAAACAGCTGCATCTGCTGCTGCAACTGCTGCAGCAACTGCTGCNTGTTGCAGCAGCAGCAGCAAACCCAGAAGCAGATTCACCCGATCGCTCAAGTGCAGATGAAGAGGTGAGCTTCTTTTCTCTTCGATTGCAACAGATAGAAAAAAAAACAACAAAATAAATATTGTTATATTTATTTTGTTGCTTTTCTTTTCTATCTGTTGCCTCGTACCCGTTGCTGTGTACCTCATCAAGCCGCCAGCAGCAGCAGCAAACGTATATGAGAGTGCCCTTGCATGTATGCAGCGTAGGAGCGGTGCAACGATGTCTTTATGTTGCTTGCATGCGCTGCTCTTGGTGGGGCTTTGTGTGCATGCACAGGCCGAGGCGATACCTGAACCCCCTGACATGAGCTGCGTGGCGGGGTGGTGTGATCTGATCGATACGCGACACCGCATGGAGGGGCTTCGCTGCAGACAGAGCTCGTACCTGCCCCCCGATTGCAGGCCAGGAGCAGCAGCAACAGCAGCAGCAGCAGCAGCAGCAGC